TCCCGTTTGCTTCATCTTACGCCCCCCTTTCAGAGCAATGGTCCAATTAATCTTCTCTACTGGATGACGAAAATATTAATAGTTCAAAATTGTACCATGTATTGTTGGCCTTGTGTCTACTGAATTTCCTTCCCCGACTAAATCCCTGTGTGATTCCTACATATTAGCAATATAGATTTGTCTGACGGCGTCAAGAGCTCCAAATGCCATTTACTATTTTAATCTGTACATTCAAATCTAGTCTTCCCCGTTGCATGTATCTAGGTATATAGACCTTCAATTTTTAACTTCACTTCTTGAAAAAAAAAAATTAAAAGAATCTGCAACCCCTCTTAGCTAGTAGTGTCATTAGGCATATCCTCATATGTTAGAAACTTTTTTTTTTTTAATAGTTTATTTTGATATGCAAATCTTAAATTCTTAATTGAACTACGGTAACTCTTTAGTCTTTCAGTGACTTATCAGTAAGTTGCAACCCTGCTTATATGTGGTCTATAGAACAACCATTTGAACCTTAAGAGTCCGAGGAAAGGCATTGCCATTTTCATAGCTAGTTACACAAATAAATGTGAGTTTTAGTACAAAAATGTTTTTTTTTTTTTTTTTCCAAATTGTTGATAATGAGTCAAATATCGTCCTGTTGCAGCAGAAAATTGCAATTATGTGAAATAATCTCTATTCGTATCATACACCAAATAATAAAAAGATATCGGGTCGTGCAGGTGGAAAGTCAGATTGAAATCCATTACTGTCTTCCCCTTAAAATATTACATCCAATAGAAATTTTCTACAGAGACTGGTGAAACATGAGGAACCAATAGGTAATGTGAACTGCACGCTATCTTCATTGCATAACAAATTCCCGGAACCAACCACCACTGTGATTTCTATCTGGTCAACACATATTGGCCAAAAATGCACGAACCAAATTGCTCACTTCCTGCCTTTTTCTTTTTCCAAATTTCACGAAGCTTGGCAAATTTTCATTTTAATCAAGGGATAATTTCAGAAACCTCCCTTGAGGTCTCTACCAATTTCAAGAGGCTCCCTCTAGATTTCAGAAATTACACTCATCTCCCTTACTTTCACTATTTATGCTTTAAAATAGGTCCAACAGGTAACTAATTCCTTCAAACATCCCAAACTACCTTTTCTACCAAAAGACAAAAAGGAAAGATTAAAAATGCTTTGTTGATTGCCTTTCTTCTAACACCAAAGCCAACAAACTCTTTCTGCCAAAAAAAAAAAAATCCAACTATGATGATTGACTTCTTCCAAGCAACACTACCACAAAAGCCAAGCAAACACCTCAATCTAAATCATAATAAATTTCAATAATTCTAGCACTCAAAACAACGCAACCTAATTTATGTCCAATAGCTGTAGCCTCTACACTTCCTAACAAGTTAGTTAAACTCATCACTTGGTGCTAAACTAGATAAAAAATCAACCTCAAATATTACCCAAAACTAACACTTCATTAACAACCAATTGCGTAGTTCTTTCCCTTTTCTCTCTTTGCAGACTCCTTTATTTTTCTTTTCTAAAGCCCATCCATCTCTCAAATTCTTGACTTTTGACATCAACAAGTTTAATTACCCATAATCAACCAAAATTGGATAAAACAAATAGACGCAGAAAAATCAAACCCATCACACTTAAAATTAAAAGGAAAAAAGAAGAAGATGACCCTAATCATGTTTGCAAAAAGGAGATGAGGATAGACCAAAAAGAAGAAGGGAAAGGAGAGGGGCAAATACGAGTAAGAGACGTCAGACAGAATTTGATCATGAATTGGAAAAGAAATATTAGGCAAAGAGAAATGGAATTTGTGCAAAGATGGAAGTGGAAAAAAAAAAAGCAAGGTAGAAAGGTGGAAACGTGAAAGAGGCGTGATAAGTCGATTTTGGTTTTCCTTGGAATTTCTAAAAATTTTCCCAAAAAAAAAAAGTCATTAAGTATCCTATATAGGAGTGGTAGAGTACTTTTGCAACAATAGGGAAGGAATGTTTAATTTTGAAATATTAAGGGAGCTTTGTGAAATTGTTAGAAGTCTTAAGCAAGGTTTGTGAAATTATGCCTTTGAGCAAGGTTTGTGGTCCATGCATTGATGAAAAGATTGCTACAAGCGACTGAAAAGACTTGAAAATTCGCAAACTACTACCAAACCTAGTACTTTTGGTCTGCAATTCATGCAAGTCAAAAAGATGCTTTTGATGTGAAAGTATAATGTTTAAATCTTAGTCCTTAATTAGCAGTCATTTCCTTGACAAAAATGCACGCATAACACTCAAGTAACCAAGAATACGACTTATGGGTCGGAAGAGATTATGACGAAAGAAAACAAGAACCAGAAGAAAAAATGGGATATACCATACATTGAAGGCAGCAAAGGATATACCATACTGTGCATAATATGCGTACAACAAGAGGCTTCATATGATTTGAAGGCCCGAGACAGATTAAGGGCCGAGGACAAGGACTAAGAAGATGTCGTAGTTCAAGGAATAGACCCACGAATTGCGGGGTCTTGCCACGTGTCGGTGTGAGCCGTCGCATGTGACCCCCGCTGGTTCTTGCACACACTGAGAGTTAGAGATAGAGTTTGCAGAGGATAGTGGTGCATGTGGGCGTCCAATGGATTAAATATCTCTGAGTGGCTCTCAAACTGTCACTATCCCTCCCACCTCCAAGTTTAGTATTTTGTTTTTTTTTTTTGGAAATCTGTAAGAATAAAAAGCCTATTGAGATTAATTGTATTAAAAAAAAAAAAAGATCTTTGTGACCACTTCCTTCTCTTGAAGTAGGAGAAGATGAAGTCATGTTTAATTGTCCCGGCCGGCCCTATGTATTACTTGTAGCCCGTTGCAAATTTCCCATGATCACTCTCTGTAAGGCATTCAATTTTTCCTATTCAATTTGTTGAGCAATATCCATATGTTTATTAGAATATTATTGTTCTTTAAAAGAAAAAGAAAATTGCTATCCATGAGAAATTTAACTACCTATAATGGTTGCAGAAGGTTGCCAAAGGAGCCCCCGAATTTGAACTGAAATGAAATATGTATTAGGATCGAAATAGATATTATTGTAATGCAAGACCGTACTATGACATAATTGCTTAACAACGGAAGAATTAACGTGTCCGTCTTACTTTGTTATCCATCTAAATTTTAGTAGTTTACTCCAAATAACAATAATGAAATTTTAGTACTTGGTCAAGGGATTTTATACAGTACTATTAAACGAAATAGATTTTGGTTTTTGGTTTTCTATTCAAAAGCATGCTTAATTAAAAGTCATATATTTCTCATGAATTAGAAACTCAGTCAGTCATGACTCCATTGAGTTTTTCAGTTTAAGATGCTAGTTAGTTAATTAGAGCTGTCGCAAAAAGTTGTGCATTATAATCTTGATTATTCTATACATTTCATTTCTCTTTCATCTATCTATAGTATTGGCAATTAATTCACGACCAGTATGAATCGGATTTTCTCTACTGTTTTACTGTTTAATATTCTAAATTAATAATGCCCTAGAAACTTATTGGTTGCATGATTACGAATTCATAATCAAACTTCAAGAAGATATATATATATATATATATATATAAGTTGTTTATATGTGTTTTCATTTTCAGCACTTGAATTCCCAACCAAAGAGCTCCTTTAAGTTCGTATGCAATTATTTGTGAGAATATATATATATATATATACATGTGGAATCCTTTTTCACAATAATGCTCTATATCATATTTATTTTACGTTTGTTTTTGTCAATGTATGAAACAATAATGTTCCTTTTTACGTAACTCGCCTCGTCCCATTTGTGAAACATGTCAAACTTTTAAAACACAAAACTACCGTAAATATAACCACCCATGCAAGAAGGTATGAAACTATAAATATTAAGTAGTATATAATAAATGGAAACCTTAACCAATCGTGAATCACTAACCAAGTACAAACACACCAATCCTTGATTTAAGCAGACAAAAACCAGCGAAAGCCTTCTTGGATTGGGACTATTGGGACTAGTGACTAGCAAAGGGAAATGGACAAAGGGAAGAGTTGAAGTTTGAGGAAACCTTTTTCTTTTGGAGACACAGTTTTTGATTGATTATGCGTTGTTGTTCCATCATATGCATTAGAGAAACACAAAAGGAAAAGAGAGGAGAAATAGGGGTAGACGGTGACAATTAACCAAAAAAAAAAAAAAAAAATACAGAGAAAAGGAGGAGGGGGAAGAGGACCCATCCACCGCCCACGGGCACGCAATCTTACCACCAAAAAATGAAAAAACCACCACGCCCATCAACAATCTATCCTCAACAAAATCTAACCCTAACCCAATCTCCTAGATTAGTAACTCAAGCACAAACCAAACAAGACCTGTTCTAACTCTCTAGCTCAGTCCTCTCTTATCTTTTACCACTCCAAAACCCTCCAAGAATATAGTACTCCTCACCAAGAAAACCTGAAATAGCCTTAGGGAACCAAAAGCAAAAACAACAAGAGCACCATCGGCAAGTAAAGCTAAGCTACTCAGGATGAGGAGGATTGAGCCTTGAGCTAGCTGGGGATATGGTGAATGAGTTCATTGAATTTTTCAGCTGGGAATTGAATTTTGGTGGGTAACACCCAGAAACTCTACTTCTTTCCTTCTCCTTCTTCTTCTTCCTCGGCCTTCTTCCTCTTGATGGTCATGAAAACTATTGAGTAGTGCTTTGATTTGTTAAAAAACAAGGCCAGCAAAGTGAGTAAGGCAGAAAGCAAGAAAAGGAAAGAGAGAGCAAAAATCCTCTCATCCCAAAAGTCTACTTCTTTCTTTCTTTTTAGCTTTCACCATCTTTTTTGAATCATTTCAGCCTTTACTTGTACTTTCATCTGGCAACCTCATCACATACATCCTTCTAGGACAAAAGAGAAAAGACTTGGAAAGTATGGATCCAGTCACGGCTTCAGCTCATGGTCATTCCCTCCACCTCCTTTCACACTAGAGATTTCAATCTTCAGCAATTCCACCACCAGACCCATAATTCAGAAGATGAGCACAGCGGCACCAGCGGCCTAAACATGGGCCAAAAGCGAGATCGCGAGGAAAAGAATGACATCAACGGTGGCGATGGCAAAGATGGAGGAAGCTCAGCTGGAGACGGAGGAGAAATCACAAGGCGGCCTCGCGGCAGACCAGCTGGATCCAAGAACAAACCTAAACCCCCATCATTATCACCCGTGACAGCGCGAATGCGCTAAGAACCCACGTTATGGAAATCGCAGATGGATGCGATATCATGGAAAGCGTGGCGAATTTCGCCAGGAGACGCCAAAGAGGGGTATGCATCATGAGTGGAACTGGCACCGTAACGAACGTTACGCTTAGGCAACCGGCTTCACCGGGTGCTGTAGTGACATTGCACGGCCGGTTCGAGATCTTATCCCTTGCGGGGTCTTTCTTACCCCCACCAGCTCCTCCGGCCGCGACAACCCTGACTATATACTTAGCTGGTGGGCAAGGGCAAGTGGTGGGGGAAGTGTTTTGGAGCACTTATGGCATCAGGGCCTGTTGTCATCATGGCTGCTTCCTTCAGCAATGCTGCATATGAGAGACTTCCACTAGATGAAGATGAGAGTTCGCTGCAAATGCAAGGAGGATCACTGGGATCTCCAGGAGCGGTTGGAGGGCAGCAGCAGCAGCAGCAGCAGCAGCAGCAATTGATGGCGGACCCTTCTTTGTTTAGCATGCCTCCTAATCTTTTCAACTCGGTTCAATTGCCTAATGAAGCTTATTGGCTACTGGTCGCCCTCCATTCTAACTCATAACAGGTTATGAATTGATTTAAGGTGAATTATTCTCATGATTTAGTACCACTACTTTGTTTATTAATTATCTTGATCAGCTCTTTAGGTAGAAGAGTTTTCAGGTTGGTTCTTTCGAGCAATATTTCAGCTTTTGATTTTTCTTATGATCATGTGTTGAGTTTGCTTTCCATCGGTTAATTTAGTGAGCTAGCTAGTAGGTCTTTTGTGTTTTTTTTGTTTGATGAGTAGAATGATGTGGCTTCTGCATTTGTATTTTGATTAAAGAACTTTGTAAATTATTTCTTTCTTGATTGAGGTCAATTCGAATAGGCAACAAGTAATTCAAGTAATTAATCTGGCTATAAAAAAAGAGGAAAGGAAGATGATGATCTTCAAGAACAAGAACAGTTATCCATGCATTAACATTTGCTATTGTTTTCCACTATCTTTCCAAGCCAGATTACACTTCCTCCATTCCATTTCATTAGTCATAATCCCATGATCATCTTATTTAGTATACCGCATTGAACATTGTTTCCTTTTTTCCCCGAACCCAACAGGAACAAATTATGCGATAATCATGATATTTAGAGTTGAAATTATTGTGTTTTTCAGGGGATGATACTCTATGACATTAAGAAGAGTGCTTTTGCTTGGACAAAATCATTTGACTGTTTGAATGGTTAGGTGGCATGTCATGATGCTATATTTACGAGAAGATAGAAAATGGAAGTATGGGCTTTAGAAAATTGCAGTTTCCAACATTTTTCCCATTCTGATGAATGTTAGAGTTTATTGGGTTGAACAATGTAGAGACTAGAGAGCCTTTATTAAGAGAGTCATATATTCTGGACATGTGCACAGTTTCAAACGAGCTCCTTTTCGAGGCAATGCAGCGGTTACAATGAAGAAAGAAGGAAGAGGCAACCAACGGACAAGATGTCTCTTGAGCGTCGGACTTCAGTTTAGTTTAGTGTTTTAGATTTCTTTGTTCTAAGAGTAAATTTAAGGGGTTTGGGAAGGAAGGGATAGAATGCAAAAACCAAGACTAGAACACAGCTAAGATTCTTTGAATTGAAGCAAGGTGAGAAACCCTTTCTAGTTTGCTCACAATGGTTGCTTGTTTTTTATGCAACAACCCATGTAAGAGTAAGATTCATAAGCTTATCCATTCTCTAGAAACACTCGCTTCACTCGGCCATGCAGCTTTTGCTTTTATCTTGGGATGATGATCATCTTTCTTCTCCTTTAGTTTCATGGATTCATTTTACAACTAGGTAACCTCTGATCGAAAAAAACTATTTTATTCCATCAATGTTGGATCTGTCTTTATCTTTCTCTCTCTTTGAATGCCATTTCTTTGTTTTTTTTTTCTTGACCTGGTTCAACTTTAACGAGGATTTTCTTTGAACCTATATTGATTTTTTTGGGGTTATTCTTTGGGCCCAAAATTTCATCTTTGAAATGCTTTGTCAGTGCTTCAAGTTCAACACATTAATATTTTTAATGGCCAATGATTGGATGCAGTCTAAATTCGTACCCTTCAAATTTGCTACTTTTTCAGTTTAAGGTTTATGTGGCTGGAGAATCCGTATCGGGTATGTGTTTTTTGGGGTCTTCCACACATATTATCAGATTTTTAGATCGATAAGGAGAGGGATGATATCCACAGACACCTAAAATTGTATGTACGGTGGCCCCTGTTTCTATAGTGCCAGAGATCATATCACGCTGCTGGCACATTTTTCTTTTTCTGGGAGCAGCATTTGTTAATACACTAGTGTATGGTGGCGAGTAGTACATTAGACACTATCCATATGGGTCTTCTCCACTCAACTTTCTTTTATTCTTTCGGGCTGTTGGTAAGCCAATGATCGTGATCAATATATTTTTATCTAGTTCAATGCTTTATTTTCTCTGTCTTTTTTCTTTCACACAAATACAAGCAGAAAAAGAAAAGAAGCAAAGCGTAGGCAGAGAGAGTGAGTGCATGGTTCTATAGTTACGATCACCTCACTACCAGTCAGTCTCTGTGTAGCTTGGCTAGCTAGCCATTATTTCTGGCCAGAAATTTGGGGCATTTTCCTGGGAACATTAAATATAGATATGGCCACAGTTGAGCTGTCGCTATTTAGTGAGGCAACTAGTCTGTAGATATTGCAAGCAATTTCGGTAGGTTTTCTATAATGTTTTGGACGTATACGATTGTATGTATGAAGTTTACATCATCCGACACAGCAGTAAATGTTGATCAACAAAACTGTTGTTGCTTGCGTGGAGCACCCAAATCTATCTATCTATCTTCAGTTTCATGATTTTCATTTTACTCTCTCCAAAAAACAGTTCTTTAAAAGTCCAGATTCGATGAGGAACAATATATATTGTCATCTTGAACCTAAGATTTCCCAATGTGATTCGGTTTGGGGGGTCCGTCCTTTGCACGGACAACTAAGGCACACCCGTGTGTGTGTGTGTGTGTGAGAGAGGGATAAAAATAATAGGCAAGAATCTGACAAAATTTTCATGTTTTAACTCTACATAATAGTTCATCTATCCATTTTTATCTCTCCAAATGGCTACAGTCTACCGGTACTATAATTGTATATAAATCTATCAACATTGAGCCACTAGGCCTTTGGCCAGGTGATCACTACCGGTCTTGGTGGGGTGGGAGGCGAATCATTGACCTCCCACTAATTGCTACTTCATGTGCCGGTCTTAATTGATTTTTTTTTTTTTTTTATGAAATCTCTACTCATATTGAGTCCTTCTCCCCTTCCTCTAGATTAGGTTATACGAATTCTACCGTTGCGACAAGCGTCCTGCCTCTTTAATTTTTCTATTTTTTTTTAATGAACTTGGAGAATTTAGCTGTACGCCTGCAAGTAGACCATTTGTACTTATTTCTGGTTTAATTTTTGTGCAGAAAATTATTCGACTAATCTTAGTGTTTGGATTGTAGTTTTCTACTAAAAATTTTTACGTTTTTCATGATCGTATTTTTTAATCGTCTTTTATCTCACATACAACAAATCGTTATAGTATATTTTTTCCATACAACCTCCAAAAAATAACAGAAACTAGTTGAAGTTTAAAAAAAAAAAGAAAAAAAGATTCTAATGCAATAGCTGTAGACAGCCTAGCGCCGACTGGCAAACGTCGAAAGTATCCCAATTTGGTCAGTTCTGAACTATTAATAGTGGTTAGCCCAAGATTCGCGGAAACGATCTGACGAATTTCCAGGATAAACCATCTTCTTGAGCCGTGTACGGACTTGGATATTCAAAACCTGATTTTTTTGTTTTGTTTTGTTTCGTTTGGTAAAAAGGGCAGCAGCGGAGAGGCACCAATTATTACAAACTTGAGGTGTGCCTCTGCAGTATCTGCTAATCTCTGCTTGGGAACTCAGTTAAATATATGGGACTGAAAAAATATTCCTAAACATGTCCAGGCCACGTGCTCATTTTAACAACTGCATGAATCCTAGAATACGAGGTTAATAGCTTGTTACCGGTACATTGTACATCTAGACTCCTGTCGTTAATTTTGTGAACACAGTAAATACTCAGCTTCATTCCATATACACACCAAACTATACAATACGCAGCAAGTTCATGTGAGAAGACCATCTTAACCAGGCAACTTCTATCTAACTTTAAGCAAATTTACATGATAAGCCAATGACCTGCAAATACCGGTCGTTGGATCGACACAATAAATGCCACAAATCAGCCTTCCCGCAGTCCAAATAATGATAAAGACTTTCAGACAGTTGCTACCTCCAGGGGGGATCCTGCCCATTTTTCTTATGGGCAGCCACCTTGTGTTTATAATTGTCTCTGCAACCCAGGAGCTGGTATGTTAACCAAGGTATCATCACATTTCTTTAACCATAATCTATCCGTAGACGCCTCAGTTCCACTTGGAAAGCTGGGCTGTGAGTAAGTGTTTTGTGTGCAAGGTTCCTTATGTCATCTCGTGAACAATCCCGTGAGATTCGAACAAGCTCCCACAGCGCTCTTGCAGTAATCATATCCTTTGCATTTACTTCTGTTATACCAATTCAAACATTTTAGAGCAGCCCAAACAGTAGGAATCAAGGTTGGAGATGTGAGTGTGAACTTACCATGCTGTGCTAAGTGGCAAAGTGCTAGCTCAATATGTCGCCTGATTGGTGAGGCTTCATTATTGGCATTCTGTACAATCCATGGAAGGGCACCATCTTCAATTAGGAGAGACCTTCCCATCTTTGTTCCTGAAAGAATATGAAAATGACAAATAAGACGGAGAGCTTGAAGTACCTCAGCCAAAATGATCTATTTATCCAGATGTTGATAGTCTTATTGCAAATTGAAGAAATTCAGCGCAAAGAGATTATTTTCGGTCAGCAACTACCAGCTTTTCCACTGCATTATGATTGCAAATTGTTGAAATCTAGGTAATTAGATTTGCCTTGCACAGCTCACTTAAAAAACCACAAAGTTTTTCAATTCCTTTTCCTTTTGAGATGTTTCAGAAAAATATTTCCAGTCCACAAGTTAATTCATGACATTTCTTTGAAATCTGTATGGGTCAGTAAAAGAACAAAAGGAACACTTTCATAGTTAACCAATAGAGATTCAAAATAAGTGTTCTGCAAAGAAACAAAATTTCTCATTTCTTTTGGACAAATTAGATGCCATAGGCTCACTCCAAAGTGACATTCCCGCTCAGGGACCTACACACTAGGGACAAGGACGTGAATCATGCATTCTACATAGAGCAAATAAGGCATGTAAACCAAATTGCTTTCGTTCAAACAATATGGTCGTAACTCGATACTAAGACTTAAATTCCAGGCAGAAAACAACTCTAAAAACCAAATAACCAACATGATATATCTGTGTGTGTGTTTGTGAGAGAGAGGGGGGAGGGGGGAGAGATTGCATACAAGTCACCTTGTGTGAATGCTCTAGACTCGCATTTTGCAAAATTCGCAATCCCACGGGCAACTTGAGCTAGAACATCAGGATGCCTGCATCTCACCATTCCTAGCAATGCTTTAATGCCGCCTTCGCCTCTTAGCTTCATTTGTAACTTATCTGTGAAATTAGAGTATTGCAAATTTAATAACAGTGAGGTGGAATCACACATTCAAAAAACCAAATGCTTAGCATGTTTATAAACGTCCGTATACTCATTGGGAAGATAAGCTTCTCAATTACACAATGGGTACAAAAGTTATGGTCGACCCAGAGTATGCCTATTAGAAACCCAGCATAGATTAAGGATGCGGCACTATCTCTTCAACAAAAACACAAATAACAAAAACACATGCAGAAGATACAGATAAATCAGAGATTAAAAGTTTCAGGATTAAGGTCATTCCTCTCTCAACCCAATGCAGCCAGTGCACTGTTTGAGTCATATAAGGATGTCAATGCTTCATTGGATATTTGATAAAATTAAGGACTATAAAGAACCAGCACAGATTTATAATATCTGTGATAATCCTTTTTTCCAACAATTTCATTGCCTGAGCGTTTTGAAGCAACGGCCTGATAATAATGCAACAAATAACAAATAAGTTTGAAACTGCTACTATTTCAAGAACAGAGACTACCATTGCCACAAAGATTTGCAATGGCTCCAGCAACCATGCGAAGGGTCTGCGGATCGTTGGCATTAGCAGCTGTAGTTGACAACAGTTCTAAGCCCCTTGAGATACAATAAGCTCCTGGTTGGTTTCTGCTTATGAGAATTCAATTGTTATCTGGTGATTTCTTGTTGGGGTAAATGATAGCATAAAAATCTGTACAATAACCTTTCAAGTTGTTATATAGTCTAGTTGGCAAGGTAACAAAGGATTACCACTCATTGCAAGGTTAGCAATTGCACCAGCTGCAACCCGTTGAATGGTTTCAT